TCTATTCTATAAACCCATCTTTTTCCAGAATCTGTCCCTAGTTCACAATCCAAGGCATTATAAATCACATCTAAGGCATTAGAGAAAATTAGATTCTAGAGCCCCTCATGTTCCTGAGGTCTTTGTCTAGTAGCAAAATTCACAGCTACACTCTTATTTCTTGATCAATTTTATATAACTATAAAGTGAGCTTTGCTGGAAAATTATGTCTAATTCAGAGAAAAGCGAACATCCGAATTATCAACTAAAAAAAACAATGCATGGTTTTTGCTTTGCTTAGGAAGCAGAAGCAAAATTACCTGTGCATTACTATTCAATATAAATACGCCGTGAGCTTTTCCATCTGGCTCTAACAACATGTAAAATGGATGCATACCTTAAAATAGATTCTCACTATGTTTCACGATATCTTCAAAAAATTTACCGTAAAGATTTTTAGTGGTGGTCTCCTCCGAATAAGGCCATTCATCTCTTGCGAACATAGCCCAACTTGTGTAACGATTAAAGTTATGCTGAATTTAACTGTATAAACCTCCTAAATAAACAACGAAATTGAGTTTACTCCTAACCTTCAGCGTAGGGTGACTATTCTCTCCCCATCCGTACATTGCATCTGAGGGTAGCCTTGTGGCAATTTGTATAAACTGATCAGAAAAGATTAAGCCTCCTAGAATAGAAACAATTAAGATCCCGGTCATGCAAACGGTTTCTTGACAATTTTCAGTTTTAACAACGCTCTGCTACGGTTTCTTAGGTATGGACAACACTTTATGTACCAAAAAATGATTTGCTTACCTATAGAAGTGTCAAACAGGACCTCTTTTGTGGATTTGCGCGTCACAGTGAAATAGAAATATTCCATATTATGGAATTTTAACTATAAGAGCAGATGTTATCCTCTTTCATAGCATAGATAGGATAATGGGAGAGGATCACGATTAAGATGGTTTGTTTCTCAGCAGACTATTAGAAACTAATTTATATTTATTAGAAATCTAGAATTAAATCTCTCTCACGAATTGCAAATGGAAAAGCTTTGTCTTCATATTTTCTTAGATTTTTTGGTTTTTCCTGCAGACAATATACTACTTATGACGTGAAGCTGTTCACAAGGATCACCTGCAAATCTTCGGCGGACTTGGAAGGATTGCGCGGAAGGTCAAGTGGTGGTTCATACCTGAAGGAAATTGTGCTGATGTATTGCTTATAAATAAAACTTTTCAAGTGTTGACAATAACGAGTTTCTGTGCTTAGCTTGTGCTTTGCGGAGCAATAAGTACTGTATCAAGTTGAAAGCTTTATTCTTCAAATCCTTAGTAAAAAGAAAGTCTCAGAGTGAAATTCGTAGTAAGTAACGAACAACAGAAAGCAATTAGTTAAAGAGGAAAGTGAGAGACTTAGAATCATCTTAAGGAATGAGAAGAAATTTTTATATAGCTTCTTACGTTCGTCGTTTCATGTAATTCTTACCGTCCTTTCACTCCAATCTTCACATTCAAAGTTTTTCCAATGTAATTCGAACTGATCGTTATCTTCTTGAAATCTTCTCCCCATGGATTTGCTGGTCCATTGTTCTTCTCTAGCGCGGCTTCCTAAAGATTCATCAAAGTTCAGCTTAGGAGGAGATAAGCGTACTCGCCTTTTCATTCCCTGATTGAATCCGGTAACCTATTCCTTGTTTCATATAACAGTATGGAATTCCAGGCTATAAATAGAAATTCATTTAAGGTTCATAGTTAAGAACATTTTTTAAATTGATTGACCATTAGTGACAGAAAACTCACCACAGAAGCGCTAGGACCCCATATGCAACCTCTCTTCTCGCACTTCGTCTTGTCAGCGTCAGGCTCAGGATGGCAGTCCATTCGAACATCATCTGCTTGGATTAGGCCAAATAGGAGAGGAAGTAAGATGACCAACATGCTTAACAACTTCGCTGTGAAGTTGAAAGTGCCCCTGTACTCTTTCTTAAGTGGCTCAATATGAGAACTGCGAATATTTGTACCATAAATTTGAACTTTAAGTGCAACAATAAAGCAATTAAAACGCCATTTGGCAATATCTATTGATTTGGTGTAAGC